ACAGGCCAGGAGAAAAATGTACTGTCCCCTTACAGAATCTTCAAATTGATCAAAAAAGACTGATATTATGACAAAAAGCTCTAAGGAATGTAGATTCATGTTCACGTACATCTAGGAGTGTATGTGTGCGCATGTGTCCACCGTTTATTAACGGTTGAAGACACAGATTAATCTCTTTGCATGCAACAGAGGATAAATCAATTGCACATAATTAGCAGGGGCAAGGTTATAACTGACACTAGGTTTCATCTTAATTACAGAAGTGGTTGCATGAACACGTCTCAACTTAATCACACCTGCCACTGTTCTCACCACAGCTTGATAATTTATTCTTATGGGAGCTTTTACTAATAATCATGTTTTAGTTTGTATAAAATTCATGTGGAGTTACATATGTTAGTAGGAAAGTGCAATGTTGGCCACTGATCTGATGAGTCACCAAAATTTATAACAAAGAAAATTCATATTTGTGGGGCTGTTCATTTGTAATGCTAAATATGATACAGAGTACCCTAAAAGCAAAACACACACACAGATATACAAAAAAGCCAGCAAAAACATCTAAGGCAATCCACTCTCTTGACTTCCTCCATGTATTGATGATGGTTTGAACCAAAAACTTCAAATTTGGATTCATTAGTCCAAAAAGTTTCCACTGATTTTCAGTGTAGTTCAGTCAGTCTGGCTTCTTGGCAGTCACTCTTCTACTGAGACTATTTCTGATTAGAAACTGCACGCCATGCTGCCAGGTTTTTGGCTAATAGCTCTATGGGAATTAGCCAAAGTAGAAAAATACTATTTTATGTCTGGGAAATGGGAACAATGTGACCCACTAGTAACAAAGTGCCGTAAAATTGGTTCTTTGCCAGTGTGCTGGTATGTAGACACCACACTCCTTAATCCCTTGAGTTAGGCATTTTTTCTATACCTGATGATAGATCAGTGTTAGGCGGCTTAACAAACAAACAAAAAAGGTGTCCAAAGAAAACCTTAGACACTGGCTTTGACCTTCAGAGAACCTGGAGAACTGTTCCTCAAGACCACTTAAAAAAAATACTAGTAAGTCTGAGTCTTTGGAAGCAATATAATAAGTAGTGGCTCAGGTTTTTTGCACAGTATTGTATATGAAATTGATTAAATCAATAAATGAAATGTATTATTCAAATTTGTCAGTAATATTAGCGCAAAAACTTTCTGGCAATTCCAACATAATCCTGTCTTGCTGTTTTCTGCTTAGGTTTCTAAATGTTTTTATTTTAGTTTATTTGCTGTTGCTTTCCATATTAGTTTCAGCCATTTTATATAATGTTAGGGTGTTCTTGAGGTATCCTCCAGCTCGCCAAGGGGAACGCCCCTTCCCAGGCCAACCACGAGATATATGTATTAGATATGAGAGATATGTATTATTATTATTATTATTGTTGTTGTTGTTGTTGTTGTTGTTGTTGTTGTTATCGCCAGCAGGCTTATGAGATTTTATTTTGAAAGTTACAGCCGGAAGTTTAGATTTTCCTAAGACTGGTTCTGTCGCGAGCCTCCCGTACTGTAAGCCAATCACAGAGCAGAATAAGCTTTGCCGTATATACGCGCGACTATTTCCACGTTTTGATCGCAAACAGCGGAGGGCTTCGGAGTCGTTTTCTGAACCTGCTTCTCCAGGGCCCTGTGCTTCGTACGTCGCTTACTACATCCAAGATCAAATGAAACATCCAAGATCAAATCATCGCGCTAACTCTGAGCTCGCTATTCCGGTTCCCCGAACACACCTGTTGTTAGGGTTGCCAACCGTCCCTTAAAATACGGAATCGTCCCGTATTTCGAAACAAAAGTACACGTCCCGTATTGAGCTAATAAGGGACGCACTTTGTCCCGTAATACAGTGAGAATCAAAAGTAGTCTATAAATGTTTATGGAATTAACACTTTGTTTGAAAACATAATTCCCAGCCCCTCTCCTGCTTTGTGACCAATGAGCTGACAGCACACTTATGACAATTCGAGTATGACAATTCAGATTACCGCTCATCTCATTGGTCGAGGAAAGGTCGCTTGCGGAGAAAATACCGGAAGACAACAGATGACCACAACAAGAAGCATGGCCAACAGGGGAACAAACGCCGACACGGCGGTGCAAGTCTCGGACGACAGTACACCTAAAGCTGGGCAGACACTGTGCGATTTTTTTCAGTCACGTTATTCAGCTCCTGCTCAAACTGCACGATTGACTCGCAGGGGTTAGAAGTTCATAGGTCACAATGTACTCTCACACTATACCGCCCGATGCTCTGATGCGACCTGAGTGCTCACACTGTGCCTCCATAACATGAAGGTTATAACAGAAAATCTGTCGCTCGCTCTCTCTGTCTTTCACTCACACAGACACACCACTACCATCAACTTTGCTAAATTGCTAATGAAAAACATGATCAGGCAGCTGTGATTGAGCAGCAGTGTAGATCCAACTATTTTCACGGTTGTTGTGGTCGTGATAATTTTGTGAGGCCACATCGAAAAGACTCGGATGAGCTTTCCAAAGTTCTACAAGTTGTGCCTCCATCGCTTGGGTCCAGATCACACGCTGCACAGCCGTGCTGCTCCATCTTTTACACCAACGTTTACGTGTTTGCGCGCGAGCAGTGTGAGCGGCTGTGATGAGACCCTCACGAGCGATTGATGATCGGGAGCTGGTCGTGAGGTGTTAATCACTTCTCGTTACCCCACGTATACTACACGACGCACGATGAAGGCCAAAATCGGTCAAAAATCGGCTCAAAATGGGCCTAAAACCGCACAGTGTGAGCCCAGCATTAGAGCAGCAATGTTTGTTCCCCTCAGAGAAAGGGAAGAATGGGGAAAAGGAAAACACCTGGCTGGAAAACGTTAATATGGGCATGTGCAGTGAATATCAGCGCTATGTGGCCAGAAGTGTGATAATATAATTTATTTTGTGTAATAAACAACTGCAAGGATAGATGATTACAACAAATTGATGACTAATACATAAAAGTAATACATAGATGAATAATGATGATGAGTTAAGATGCGTAATCATGGGAACAAGCGGGTTTACAAACAGGAGCAGCTGATTAGCATTAGAAAAGCTGAAATAATATTTCAACTGAAGCCGATTGTACTAAATGCACTAAATGTGCACTGTTACAAGAATGTTTTTCTTTCTATTGTTTTCTATTATTTTAAGTTAAGCAGGACAGAGTGCTTTTAAAGAAAGATTTACTTATATTCTCAAAAGTTAAGCATGACAGGCTTCTGTTTAAGAAAGAGACCTGTTTTACTGTGTTAATGTTGTCATTTTGAGCTAAAAATAAATGGCTAAATGATCATTTGTTTCACATGTGTTCATATCACAAAGAATAGAATATGCATCTACTTAAATCAACTTCAAGTCAAATGGTTAAAAAAATAATTTCACACACAAAAAAAGAGCTAGAAAATTCACCACACTGGGAAGGGTGAAGACAACTGGGTCGCCCGGCCCTGGCCACGAGGTGTCCCTTATTTATTTTTCAGGGAGTTGGCAACCCTACCTGTTGTTGACGATTAGTATAGCTGGATGAAGTAATGTGAGATCACTGGGTGGCCCAACAGGGGCTACGCATCGATAGTAGAAACATTGATCGGCAACCCTTTGATTGGTCGGCGAAAATGTCGAAGGAGCGCGCTCGGTATTTTTCGGCAGCAGAGCAAGAACTCTTGAGTGAGGGATTTCAGGAGTTTCAGAGTTTAATTAAAACGCAAGGGAACACTGCAAAGGCTGCAAAAGCAAGGAGAGAGGGCTGGCAGAAAGTTGCTGACAAATCAAACTCGTAAGTAATTCAATAATAACAATAATAATGGAGTGGATTTATATAGCGCTTTTCAAGGCACCCAAAGCGCTTTACAATGCCACTATTCATTCACTCTCACATTCACACACTGGTGGAGGCAGCTACGGTTGTAGCCACAGCTGCCCTGGGGCAGACTGACAGAAGCCAGGCTGCCATATCGCGCCATCGGCCCCTCTGGCCAACACCAGTAGGCGGTAGGGTAGATTTATCATATCACACCATATTATCCAATATTATATTACATTATATTATATTATAATATGTTATATTATATCCCCTTTCACATTAGAGCCACAACAGGACCCACTAGAACATGGGAACAAGTAAAAGTGAAATATAAGAATATTCTACAGAATGGTAATATTTATCACTTATATTGCTTGTCGTCTCTTGGAAAGAGACCCTGGAATACTCTGTTTGTTTGTTCATAACAGCAACCAAGAAAAGGGCAGAGCAAAAAAAGACAGGTGGTGGTCCTGCACCCCCTCGTCAACAAGTTGGTTAAGTGAATAATACCCTCACGGGAATATCGATATCTCTCTATGAGCACACTGTCACGCTGAGCTAAAGGATCCTGTCTGTCCCGCAATATACGCTGAATTCTGAGGACTCTCCTTATCAATCTTGCACCTTCCGCAATGGGTTGCTCGCGTAAACGGACAGGATATGACTGCGACAGACTTCCCAAATCCACCTTCGCTTTTATAGCCGTGGTCTCTCATCTTGATTACACGAAGTAATTTACAATTACTACTCTGAAATATGAATTACATCTGTAATAATCACATACATGTAATAGAATGTTAATAGTACATTTCCCTTTTTTAGGGAATGACCTGTATGTATCTGTGTGAAATCAATAAAAGGATCAAGTGCTGCATTATCTTTAGTTACATTGATGTTATTTATTTATGGTGAAACAGTGGTGGAATATCGCTGTTGCTTTCGTATGAATGACGCGGACATACCTGCGTGGCCGCGATCTAATCCTGTTTACATAAAGTAAACCTGCTCCCCAGCAGGTTTACGCTTACGGCTCTGTTGCTATGACAGCAAGTCCCGGATGGGCTTCGGGGAACCGAACGATCCAGGATCACGCGAAATCGTCAACAATCTCATCCAGCTAACTCACTTAGCGCGGTACGAAGAACAGGCCCCAGGTCGCATTAAAGTAAGGAGAACATGAGTTTAGCTTGTTTTCTATGCTCCCTGCACAGGAACTTCAGTTGGCTACATTTCATGTCATCTGTAAAAGCTCGCATTACATTACGTTATTTTTACTGCACGTTTCACTTTTTAAGTTAACTGAATAAGATGGTCTGAATCTCAACATATGTAACCATTATCTAGGTAAAGCTAGTTATCCTCGGTGGTTAGGATCCTGCTTGAGGGGACACTATCTTGATTTAAAGAAACACATCCGTTAAACAAAGTATATAACTTATACCCCAGATAAGACCGAAATAATTGGGCAGCTTTGGGAATTGATACGAAATTTCCCTTTATGCACTTTTATTGTGTCCAGTGGTACTAACAAAAGAAAAAAATGTCTTTAAACTTGTTTTTCTCGTTTTTTTGAAAAGCACTGATTCAGTTGTGCCGTTACTAGTTGTTTTACCTCGAATAAATAAATACGTTTATTTATATAGTTTAACACACAAAGTATTTACTGCAAGGCTGCTAGACTCCATTGCTCTGAAAGGGTTTGTCCACATTAACCTGTGCTCCCCCATAAGCTTAATGGTGGTCTGGAATATAGATAAAGAGGTCTATATTTAGACCAAGTCAGCAGGAGGCTGTTAAGAAGCTAATCTGAGATGGGTGTTGGGGGTCGGGCAAGGCTTTCACATGTTAGGTTTATTTTGACAGTTTCAAGTTGATATATGCACAAAATGCCCCTTATAAACTCATCTTTCTTAAAGTAGAGCAGGTAGAAAAGCATAACATGCCACAAAATGTCTACATTTAGAAATTAGACAGCAGTGATTTGCCACTTTCCAGTGGTTGCAGTCAGTTCAAGTCAGACTGCAACTGTCCTCAATTCAGTTCAGTTTTAATTATAAAGTGCAAAATCAAAACAGCACTCACTTCAAAGTGCTTTATATTGTAAGGTAAAGACCCTACAATAATAGAGAAAACACCAACAATCATATAAACCTGTATAAGCAAGTACTCAGCGACAGTGGGAAAGAAAAACTGTCTTTAAACAGGAAGAAAAGAAACCTCCAGGATGGCGGTGTAGCCATTTGCTGCAAGCGTTTGGGGGTGATCGGAGGGAGACGTGGCAAAATACTCGCTGTGGAAGAGAGCCGATGTTAAATAATAACTAATGATTGAATGCAGAGTGTTGTTATAAACATGCAGAGAGTGAAAAGAGGTGAGTGAAGAGGAAACAATCAGTGCATCATGGGAAACCCACCCTTAGCAGCCCTATTCCTATTGCAGTCTAAATAAGGAAGGATTTGGGTCACCCCAACTATATACATTATAAAAAGGAGTTTTAGGTCTAATCTTATAAGTAGAGAGGATGTCTTTCTCCCAAATCCAAACTGGGAGCCAGTTCCACAGAAGAGGGCCCTGGAAGCTAAAGGCACTGCCTCCCATTTTACTTTTAGAAACTTTAGGAACCACAAGTAATCCAGCAGCCTGAGAGTGAAGTTCTCTATTGGGGTGATATGGTTCTATGAGGTCTTCAGGATAAAATAGGACCTTATTAGTCAAGACGCTGAATGTGAGGAGAAGGATTTTCAATTTCCCTGTCAGTACTCTTGCATTTTGGATCAGCTGAAGGCTTTTCAAGGAGTTTTTAGGATGTCCTGATAATATTGAATTACAGTTGTCCAGCCTAGATGCAGAAGAAGCAGTAAGGTATGAATGATGGTCTACTTTTTCAGCATCATTCTGATACTAGAGGTCATTCAGGTATTTATGTCTCTGAGACCTGTAGTTTAACTATTTGCAGGAAAGTCGCCTCTTGTCAGCTAACCTGTGCAAGCTTGCCATCAAAAATGGTCAAGTGGGAAACACCCTCAAATTCTGGCCAACCATTTAGTGACTACAAGTTCAAAACAGATGTGAAATTACAATTACGAGGCATCACCAATTTTTACTTTTTTTTTTATTTAAGGAGCCTGCTGTCCTATTTTTACTCATGTGACTGAGCCATTAGATGGCTCTGAGGAAGTAGCTTTGTCGAGCTAAGTGTTGGATGGTTTTTCAGATGAGCTGATTTAAGGTCAGTTTAACTAAGCCAACATTATCACAGGATGATGGTGTTAAGCCTGATAATATGTGTGTCCACAGTAATAATAATGTAACCCCACTTGGTTATACTAAGGCTGTGGATGCACTCAGTGTTTTATGTTAATATGTGCTTTTGTTAATAGGAGGTGTTATGATGCCGGTGGTTCAGTTGCTGAGAGCTGCATCAAAGCATGCTGGGAACAGGCCCCCACGCTGTGTTGTGCAGACGACCTCTGCAGCACATGGCGTCAGAACACATGCTTCATCCTGCACTGATAGTGACAAACCCAAAGTCCTCATTACTGGTTAGTTTTTGTCTCATACCTCTTGTGTTACTTAAGCTCTGTAATGGGAAATTTCTAGTTAACCCTCACATTTAGATATAGGTGGTTAGAACTTCACTGTATGATTTTTGTGTAACCTTTGCATGCGTAGATGAAGTATGTGTATGTGTCAGTATGACCTCGTGAAATAAAAAAACTGCTTAGCTAGGCCTTACAATGTTTCACTATGTTATCTGCTAAGTGTTTGGCTCAGAAGGATGAAGGTCAGGGCCAGCGCCAGGTGCTGGCCTGGGAAAAGATAGTAGGAGTCTTCTCTGTTCAGCAACAGCCCAGGGTGGACAAAAGACTGTTGTAACTGAAAGATACACAGAGTTTGACGATGTCATAAGCTCATTACTATGAACCTGTGATGTTTTGATGTATGTTTCCATTCTCCTGCGCGTAGTAATAAATAGTGTGACCACAGCTCTTTCTGTGTTGCAGACTTTATTTACAAAAATTCCACGACAGTTCTTAAAAGTGCTTAAACTGCTTGGTAATTTGCTTCTTTTTCTCTAATTTATCCTTGTAGGAGGACTTGGACAGCTGGGGGTGGGGCTTGCTACGTCATTAAGGTAAGAAGTTTAAATAACCTCTGATTTCCGTTGTTTAGCTATTTCCATATGTAGAGTAGTTTTCTTTGCGTATACGTGATACTGATACTGGGTTTTCAGACTGATACCAGTAAAAAAATCTGTCAATATAAACATACCAGTCACTGTATTAGTTGTGGCCACACCATTTTGTACATTCCTGCTCCAATCTGATCCCAGAAACTAAACAGGGTTGTGCTTGGTCAGTATTTGTCTGGGAGACCGCCTGGGTATACCAGGTGGTTGAAGCTTGGTCGTGGCAGATGGCTTCCCCTCCCTGAGCCTGGTTCTGCTGGAGGATTCTTCCTGTTAAAAGTTAAAAGTTTTTCCTTCCTACTTTTGCCAAGTGCTTGCTTGTAAGGGGTCACCTAACTTCTGTAGCTATACTGTAGATTTTTTTGATGTGTAAAACAAACAGCGATGGATGCATCAGGTTGTGTGACGAAGGATTCCCGCTAGCTTTATCCCAGTAAAGGTTATAATGGTGATTTACGGGCACAGAGCTGCTGTTTTGGACGCTAAAAATTTTTTTTCTTTCGCTCCACCTGAGCACACCGTCTCAGTAATGACTCCGCGTTTAGACAGACCCCGGCTCAACATTAAACTATGACATTAAACCATCCTCTTTACTGCTGCTGTTGTGTTATCAGTCTTTTTGTTGAAACACTGGAGGCTGTGTGAGCTTAATGTTGTCATACTTTTAATTCACACGCGCTCTCCTATTGCAGGTCTATTTTTGATCACAAATGTGGGTGAGCACCACAGGGTCACGCATTAGACAAAGCATCAAAGCAAGGAAATTGTTTTTTTTATAGTCGAGTTATTCAAATTACTCAATGAATCGTTGCAGACCTCTTTTAAACTGCTGTGGTGAACTGTGGTGATGCCAGTCCTAAATTCAGCAATTTTATTTACAAGAAAAATTAGAAAAACTTCCAAAAGGTGATACCTGTGAGCCAAACCTATATGGGGTGTAATGTGTGAGCTGTTGAAACAACTGTTAAAATGATATATAATGAAAGAAAGCTTAAAGACATCATGCGATCATGTCATTTGTACCGCAGACCAGCTTTTTTAGTAGAGTTACCAAAACTAATGTTTCTTTTTCAGGAGGAGATTTGGAAAATTCAATGTGATCCTGTCTGACATCCGGAAACCCCCCAACCATGTCTACAAAAACGGTGTGTGCATTGTTTTTACCTTCTCCACATATTCTACAAGTTAGTAAAAACCCTACAAAGGCCATGCGGTCTTTCTGTTTAGGAGCTCCATTCTTGCTCAGTGTAAATGCAAACCACATGTCCATAAAACTGCACTCCACTTTCCAAAGATGAGTGGGTCGACACACACAGTCTATTGTGTGTCCTGCACAGGTCCATTCATCTTCTCTGACATTCTGGACTATAAGAACCTCAGGCAGATTGTGGTCAACAATAACATCAGCTGGCTGGTTCACTACTCAGCTGTGCTGTCCGCTGTGGGGGAGCACAACGTGGCCCTGGCTAAAGAGGTCAACATCACAGGTAGACACCTCTGTAACGCGTGTACCATATCATTAACATAGCAGACTTATGCACAGCCTCTCTTTCTCTCTAGGTTTCCATAACATATTAGATATAGCCACCGAACATGGTCTGCGTGTGTTTGTCCCCAGCACAATCAGTGCCTTGGGTCCATCCTCCCCTAAAGACCCCACTCCTGATCTGTGTGTGCAGAGGCCACGCACTATTTACGGTGTATCCAAGGTCCATGCGGAGCTGATGGGTGAGGTGAGACACTCTGTAGAGACTTTAAAAACGCATACCCGTATTTCTTCTCCGCACTTACAGCTGTTGTAGCTCCAGTCCTCATTCTGACCTCTATTCATCTTATTTCTGGTGTTTTTGAGTCTTTTCCTCCCATTATCAGTACTACCACCAAAGGTATGGGCTGGATTTCCGCTGTCTCAGGTATCCAGGCATCATCTCGGCTGACTCCCAACCTGGAGGAGGAACCACAGGTGAGTAGACCTGAGATACATATACCCAAAGACCTTTCAGGAATAAGTGTTGGCCCTCAACAATCACATTTGCAATATGGTTAAAGTTGTGGTTCACTTCCTTTTTAAATGAACGGGTATAGAGGCTCAACAATAATTTTGATGGTGATAATATCACCATCATCACCTCCACCACTTATCTTGTATAATGTCTCTGGAAATACTAAAGGTGCAGGCTAACTGACAATGTAAGGAAGATGGCGCACCGTTTGGAAATGTTTGTTTTTTTTGCTCCATGTCTTTGATGCAGTCTGATTCTGATGGTCTCTTTTCACTGTTTTCTAGACTACGCTGTCCAGATCTTTCATGCTGCTGTGAAGAGCGGTCAGTTTGAGTGCAACCTGCGCAGCGACACACGGCTGCCTATGATGTACATCGGTAAAGCAAACTTTGATGCGTTTTGTTTTGGTGGCACTGAAGCACTCCCGTTTCGCTCACCTCTTCCTCCGTCCACCTCTCCTACCCAGATGACTGTATCAGGGCCACTATGGAATTCCTGGAGGCTCCAGAAGACGCGCTCGTCAGCCGCACCTACAACATCAACGCCATGAGCTTCACGCCACAGGACCTCACCCGAGAGATCCAGAAAGTCCTGTCTGACTTCACGGTTACCTATAATGTGGATCCTGTTAGGCAGGTGATCGGTGAGACTGCTGGGATACCAGTGTCATAGTTTTATCCTTTCAGAGTGTCACTGGCTACTATAATCTTCTTCTCTGCTACATCTTTTCAGCCGACGGCTGGCCAAAAGCACTGGAGGACAGCGCAGCGAGACAGGACTGGGGCTGGAGGCACGAGTACAACCTGCCGGAGCTGGTGCAGACCATGCTGACTCACATTACTCTGGGAAACAAGCTAGCGAGCGCCTTCTGAAACATTTGCAGCATTTTTGTAGCTTTATTTAAAAACTGAATGTGACAGTCTTCAGTGGCAAAATCTTAAAACATTTTTTTTTCTTTTTTAATCATCTAGAGCCTGCTGTTCGTATGTGGGTTGATGTTTTAGTTGGGAGAAATCCCTGGCACTTTAGCATCCTCCCACATCTTTTAGCCCTTGATAAGTTACCAATAGCCACAAATTCAACCCTTGACAGGATGGGTGCCCTGATCATTGCTTCAGTTAGAAGGGAGCGCATTGTTAGCACCGGTAATAAGTAATATTATGTGGGATTTCCTGCAATTGGCTGTAAAGAATTATGAATGAAATCAACAAATGATCTGATATTTCCTCACAGGAGGATTCACAGGTACACGTTTTACTAGCGTTTCATCCATTTTGAATGTCATGTTATCTCAAAAGAGAAGTTCAACATGTCATGGGTACTTGTGACTCTTCCCTGCAGAAACTCTTGTGAGGATGATTTCTTTTTTCAAATTCCCCTCCCAGATGACCTTGGATCTTTCTAGCAGTGTACAGAGAACAGGCCACAGACCCAACAAAGACTTTGAAGATGATAGGCAGAAAGTCTAAAAAGGAGACTGAAATTGAGATTTACACAATATGTTTGTTAAGAAGCAAAACAAAAGGCTTTCCTACTGAACCATCAACCTGATGCCTTTCTTTTCCTCTCTGTGAATCCGTCCAGAATTTGTGATTAGTTTGCTGCTAGAGAGCGCTGGATGTTTTCACCAAAGCAAGATGCTGAACTTTTAAGAGTTATGGTCTCTTTCTGAGTGTACACAGTATGTATGTGCTGTCTCTAAGTGTGCTACCAGTCTGTTGCGGTGTGTCTTAAGGGGCACGTCTGCCACACTTGAAAACAACCTGGCTTTTAGTAAGAGCTTCACTCCCACTGTTTACTAGTGTGAACTGTGTCCTGAAACAGTGGTGCAGATAACTGTGGAAATAGTGACCCTACACAGTACTGCTGCAGGGACTGCACAAGATGGGTAAACAGAAAAGGAAACCTAGCAGTGCTTGAGGCCTTAAATTATGTGCAGCAAAGGAAATTAGCTTATAGATGCTGCTTGATCTTTGCACTGGTGTGTTTTGGGCATTTTATTTATTTATTTATATGTTTTGGGGTTGACTGAATGGATTAACATGTCAGCATTAGATAAGCAGGGCTCTTCTGTGTGGAGGTACAAAAAGAAAGGACTGGATGTTCTGTTAATGTTTGTTTTTTATAAAGCTATTATTTCAGAATTATTGCTGTTTTTTAATAAATCCTTTTTTTTTAAAAAACAACAAGTTTTTCTGAATTTTCTTTGTAACTACGCAGTACTGAAAACTGACCCAATGCTGATGAGCCATTACAGCTACAGAGGGTGAATTTTAGCTTTCTTGAAAGCTTTGTTCTAGGCCTCACCTCCACTAATGCCATTCACTGAAGGTAAGCTAAGTTCAGCAGATTTTAAATTATTAAAAAAATCACATTCAGAAAAAATGAGCATCACAACATAAAAGGAAAAATAACCAAATGTAACTCTTAAAACAACAACTAGAAATTGAGAGTAAAAGTTACCAAGTTAAAAGTTTTTTTAGGTGTTAGCATTAGGTGTCTGTGTTGCTAACTAAGCTTGCTAATGCTAGCTGACATCTTAGCATTCCACCCAGTTATGGTCATGTCTGTCTGGAGAAAAGCAACCTTGCAGCAGCCAAAAAGCTATCCCTGGCTTCAAAATGTGGAGTCTAGAAACCAACCAGTGGCGTCACATTGGCTATGTCCATTTTTTATATACAGTTCATGGTAACCATGTTGCTGTGGCTGTGAAACTTGCTTTTTACCCTTTAAAGCCTAAATCATGAGATAATTAGTAGAAAATTGTAATTTCTTTGAAATTGTATAACCAGAAGGTCTTTATTGAACCTTCTGGTCATTTCTACAATGAAATATTAATTTGCATATCCATCCATTCTCTTCTGCTTAGAGACAGACAATTATTCACACTAACATTTCCACCTATTGGCAAATTAAAATCACCAAATAACCCCACTAATTGCAC